AAATCATGGACAGCCTGAGCAGCCGGTGGAACAACCTGCCACATGAAGTCTTCAAATATAGGGCCGAGGTACTTCTATCATAGATGATTGAATACAGGGATCACCAAACCTGGCAACTTTTAAGACGTGAGGACGTCAACTCCCAGCATGGTTGGCTGAGGAATTCTGGGAGTTGAAGTCCACAGCTCTTAAAGTTCCCGTGTTGGGAGACCCCCTGCTCTAGTGCAGCAATTCTCAACCTCGGCAAATTTAAGACACTTCAATTCCCAGAATCCCTCCAGCCAGCATGCTTTAAGATGGGTGGGCTTCAATTCCCAGAATCCCCAAAGCCAGCATGTTTTAAGGTGGGTGGGCTTCAATTCCCAGAATCCCCTTCAGCCAGCATGCTTTAAGGTGGGTGGGTTTCAATTCCCAGAATCCCCAAAGCCAGCATGCTTTTAAGATGGGTGGGCTTCAATTCCCAGAATCCCCCCAGCCAGCATGTTTTAAGGTGAGTGGACTTCAATTCCCAGAATCCCTCGCAGCCAGCATGTTTTAAGATGGGTGGACTTCAATTCCCAGAATCCCCCCCAGCCAGCATTCAGTTCTGGGAATTCTGGAAGTCCAGAGGTCTTAAAATAGTCAAACGTTGAGAAACACCAATTATTCAATTACCTAATCAATTACCTGGGGAACATCATGCCCTGGTGTGTTTGTTGTTGGCAACCTAAAAATAACCAAACCTTTTCCGGAGGCCTTAAAAAAAATTAAAAAGCAAAGCCATTGCTTTAAAACAATATTCAGCATTTATAATTCCCAAAGTCCTTAACGGAATATTCTAATTCTAAAATTGCGTTGGTCCAAATAGTTCCTTCGCAGGAGAAAATCAAGGGCTGGAGAATTCTGGGAGTTGAAGTCCCACACCTCTTAACATTGCCGAGTTGGAGAAATGCAGCCTTCAACCCTCTAATACTGTAATTTTTCTGTTTCCTGGTACGATAGTTTCACTTTTGTCTCTGCTATCTAACTGCTCAAAAGAGGAGAATGCTATTCGGTTTAAATCAGTTTCGCTTTCTCACTCCAAGGTCAGAAACAAAACAGCGTGTTCCGGTTATGAATAAAACAAACACAATAAATACAAAAGTTTTTTTTTTTTTTTTTAAAGGAACAACTGAAGCCAAGGACGAATTGTTTGGAAACTCCCAAGGTCTCTGCTTTCCGTTAATTTTCTCCTGCGAAAAAAAAACTATTTGGACCAACGCAATTTTAGAATTAGAATATTTCGTAAGGACTTTAGGAATTGTAAATGGGAGGGTTTATCTCTTCTTGTCTTGTCTTTTTGAAAACTGACAACTGGGTAGGTTTAAGGACTGTTTAAACAGTGTTTCTCAACCTTGACAGTTTTAAGGCATGTGGACTTCAACTCCCAGAATTCCACAGCCAGCATTGCTGGCTGTGGAATTCTGGGAGTTGAAGTCCACATGCCTTAAAATTGTCAAGGTTGAGAAACACTGGTTTATTGGCTCTGGAGGTGAAAAACGAGCCTCCCTTGGCAGGAGCAGTGTGCCTTCCAAGTTGGGAAGAAGCGAATGGGACGAATTGTTGCTTTCTTGTTCGACTTTGAAGTGGGTGTTGGAAATAAAAAGCAGGCTAGCAGGAGTAAATATCCTTTTGATCCGATCCGCTGAGGTTTTTAAGAAGGTTAAGAAACAGAAACAGCCCAACATGCTAACAGTTCTTTGTTGAATCAGAGTTTGTGGTTACCTTAAAGATGAATTTAGCAAAGGACACGGACTATAAAAGGTAGCCCTTGAATTCTGACCACAACCAAGGTCAAAATTTCCATTGCTAAGCAAGGATTAAGCGGGTTTTGCCCCATTTTACGACCTTTCTGGTCCCCGTCGTTAAGCGAATCGCACTGCAGTTGTTAAGTTAGTAACCCGGTTGTTCAGTGAATCTGGCTTCCCCGTTGACTTTGCTTGTTCAGGAGGTCACCAGTGATCCCCGGGACGTTGCGACCGTCGTAAAGATGAGCCAGGTGCCAATGTTCAAATTTTGATCAAGTGACCGGGGGGGGGGGAGATGCTGCAACGGTCGTAAGTGTGAAAAACGGTCATAAGTCACTTTTTTCAGTACTGTTGTAACTTTCAGTGGTCATTAAACAAATGGCTGTCAGTCAAGGACTACCTGTGCTGCACTGAACATGCTGTCTGTTTGTTCTCCTGGAGATGTGGCATGATCTAAAACCAATAAATCCACACAATAAACAAATAAGAACGTTGTGTAGCCTGGCTAGATAAATTCTAACTAGAGCCAGTTAAGGCACCAGGCTAAAAGCCAGAGGGAGTTCTAGTCCTGCCTTAGGCATGAAAGCCTGCTGGGTGACTGGCCCAATCACCAGGTGCCTGTGAGTTCTAGTCCTACATTAGACATGAAAGTCTGCTGGGTGACTTTGGCCCAATCACCAGGTGCCTGCGAGTTCTAGTCCTACGTTAGGCATGAAAGTCTGCTTGGTGACTTTGGGCCAATCACCAGGTGCCTGTGAGTTCTAGTCCTACATTAGACATGAAAGTCTGCTGGGTGACTTTGGGCCAATCACTAGGTGCCTGCGAGTTCTAGTCCTACGTTAGGCATCAAAGCCAGCTTGGTGACTTTGGACCTGTCCCTCTCTCTCTGCCCAACCCATACAGGATTGTGGCTGTCTGGTGGATAAGATGTCTGGTAGATAATGTGTTCTACTCCTTGAATGATTTCTGAAAATAATAACGGTGGAATAGAAATAAATATGTTAAAAAATAAAATGAGGTTTCTTTGCTTTGGCACAGTTTGAGGAACAAGCCACCTTGAGCTGAGTCCATCCAACATGCAAAGAAAGCCAAACCAAAGCAGGCATTAATCTGGTCTTTTCCTAGATGCTAGAGCAGTTTTAAGATCTGTGGACTTCAACTCCCAGAATTCCCCAGCCAGCCATGCTGGCCTGGGAATTCTGGGAGTTGAAGTCCACAAGTCTTCAAAATTCCACCGTTGGACACCCTTGCACCTCCATGTTCTTAGTCCGCAGCTCAGAGCACCTTCGTGCCCCCCCAAAAGATAATATAGAGCTAACCATGGTTGGTCTAACCGTGGTTTAACTTCATCATGTGCCCCTGGTCAATAGAACCATTATTGTGTCTCCTGTTGGTTTCAATGCAGGACAAGGATCTCTTTTCAGTACAATAGGAAGCCGGTGCCTCCACCAAGGGAGAACTTGAGGAGGGCGGGCATTTTTTAACCGGCTGATCTGCGGAACTGAGGTAAGGCGTGTCGCCTGGAAGGCCCCGGTTGGGAGCGGCCTTTTGTGGCGGGAAGCCCTTTTTATTTATTTAATTGATTTAATGCATTAATGTTCTGCCTTTATTTATTTCTTCAACCAATAAACTCAAGGACGACGCATAGATCCAACACTCGGTTCCCCTATTTTCCCCACAACGACCCTGTGATGTGGGCTGGGCTGAGAGAGAGAGAGAGAGAAAGAGAGAGAATGGGACTGGCCCCAAAGCACAGAGTTGGCGGTTAGGTCTAAGGCGGGATTAAAACCCGCCGTCTCCTGGTGATTGGGCAAAAGTCACACAGCTGGCAGTTCAATCCTGCCTTAGTCATGAAACCCAGGTGAGTGACTTTGGCCAATCACCAGGAGACGNGTTAGGCATGAAAGCCAGCTGGGTGACTTTGGACCAGTCATCAGGTGCCTGTGAGTTTTAGTCCTGTGTTAGGTATGAAAGCCAACTGGATGACCTTGGACCAGTCATCAGGTGCATATAAGTTCTAGTCCTACATTAGGCATGAAATTCTGCTGGGTGACTTTGGGCCAATCACCAGGTGCCTGTGAGTTCTAGTCCTATGTTAGGCATGAAAGCCTGCTGGGTGACTTTGGCCCAATCACCAGGTGCCTGTGAGTTCTAGTCCTACATTAGACATGAAAGTCTGCTGGGTGACTTTGGCCCAGTCACCAGGTGCCTGCGAGTTCTAGTCCTGCGTTAGGCATGAAAGCCAGCTGGGTGACTTTGGACCTGTCCCTCTCTCTCTGCCCAACCCATACAGGATTGTTGGTGTCTGGTGAATAAGATGTCTGGTAGATAATGTGTTCTACTCCTTGTATTATTTCTGAAAATAATAACGGTGGAATAGAAATAAATACGTTAAAAAATAAAACGAGGTTTCTTTGCTTTGGCACAGATTGAGGAACAAGCCACCTTGAGCTGAGTCCATCCAACATGCAAAGAAAGCCAAACCAAAGCGGGCATTAATCTGGTCTTTTCCTAGAGGCTAGAGCAGTTTTAAGATCTGTGGACTTCAACTCCCAGAATTCCCCAGCCAGCCATGGGGAATTCTGGGAGTTGAAGTCCACAAGTCTTCAAAATTCCACCGTTGGACACCCTTGCACCTCCATGTTCTTAGTCGGCAGCTCAGAGCACCTTTGTGTCCCCCCCAAAAGATAATATGGAGCTAACCATGGTTGGTCTAACCATGGTTTAACTTCATCGTGTGCCCCTGGTCAATAGAACCATTATTATGTCTCCTGTTGGTTTCGATGCAGGACAAGGATCTCTTCTCAGCACAATAGGAAGCCGGTGCCTCCACCAAGGGAGAACTTGAGGGCGGACATTTTTTAACCGGCCGATCTGCGGAACTGAGGTAAGGCATGTCGCATGGAAGGCCCCGGTTGGGAGCGGCCTTTTGTGGCGGGAAGCCCTTTTTATTTATTTAATTGATTGATTAGTGCATTAATGTTCTGCCTTTATTTATTTCTTCAACCAATAAACTCAAGGACGACGCATAGATCCAACACTCGGTTCCCCTATTTTCCCCACAACGACCCTGTGAGGTGGGCTGGGCTGAGAGAGAGAGAGAGAGAAAGAGAGAGAATGGGACTGGCCCCAAAGCACAGAGTTGGCGGTTAGGTCTAAGGCGGGATTAAAACCCGCCGTCTCCTGGTGATTGGGCAAAAGTCACACAGCTGGCAGTTCAATCCTGCCTTAGTCATGAAACCCAGGTGAGTGACTTTGGCCAATCACCAGGAGACGGGGAGTTCTAGTCCCACCTTCAGCCTGGAAGCCAATTGGGTGACTTTGGGCCAATAGGCCCAAAGGGAGAAGGGCGGCATATAAATCCATGTTAAATTAAATTTAAAAAAAAATCACCAGGAGACGGGGAGTTCTAGTCCTGCCTTAGGCATGGAAGCCAGCTGGGTGACTTTGGGCCAATCATCAGGAGACTGGGAGTTCTAGTCCCGCCTTAAGCCTGGAAGCCCATTGGGTGACTTTGGGCCAATCACCAGGAGACGGGGAGTTCTAGTCCCGCCTTAGGCATGGATGCCAGCTGGGTGACTTTGGGCCAGTCACCAGGAGACTGGGAATTCTAGTCCCGCCTTAAGCATGGAAGCCAATTGGGTGACTTTGGGCCAATCACCAGTAGACAGTGAGTTCTAGTTCCGCCTTAATCAGAAAAGCCAGTGGGTGATTTTGGGACAAATACCAGGTGAGTTCTAGTCCCGCCTTAGGCATGGAAGCCAATTGGGTGACTTTGGGCCAATCACCAGGAGGCAGTGAGTTCTAGTCCTGCCTTAATCAGGAAAGCCAGCTGAGTGACTTTGGGCCAATCACCACGTGAGTTCTATTCCCGCCTTAGGCATGGAAGCCAATTGGGTGACTTTGGGCCAGTCACCAGGAGACGGTGAGTTCTAAACCCGCCTTAGGCAGGAGAGCCAACTGGGTGGGCATGAAAGCTGGTCGACTGATTTTCATGAGACAGTGAATTCTAGTCCTGCCTTAGGCATGAGAACTAGCTGGGTGACTTTGGGCCAATCACCAGCAGACAGTGAGTTCTAGTCCCGCCTTAGGCATGAGAGCCAATTGGGTGACTTTGGGCCAATCACCAGGAGGCGGTGAGTTCTAATCCCATCCTAAGCATGAAAGCCAGCTGGGTGACTTTGGATCAGCCTCTCAGCCCGACCCACCTCACAGGGTTGCCGTCGTGGGGAGAATAGGAGGAGGAAGTAGCTACATTCACCTTGACTTGCTTATAAAGTAATAAAAGACTGGATAAAAATCTAATTCATAAATAAAGACATTCCGACCGAATCCTCTGGTTGGACCGCTGAATAAAATTTTCCTATATTTTTTTCAACTCCAGAGCCATTCGGAGGCAGGCTCGGGCCGTAGGGAGAACCGCTTAATGACCCTCGGACCAGCGACCGTGGAGAATGTTGCCTCTGGGTTACAAAAGCTTGTAAGTAACCTCCTCTCCTTTCGCTGTTTTTCTTTTCTTTCATTCGCCGTTTTTCCCTGGCTCTGAAAACAACTCTCATTTTTTTCTTCTTTCTTTTTCACCTCTGCAGAGCTGAACATGAGATGAAAGGTAAAAAAATAAAATACTATTTCTTTATGTTTCCCCCCCCCCCATCCATTGTAACGATATCCTTCCTTTCCTACTCTCACCCACCCCATCCCACTATTAAGAGATTTTAAATTTCGGCTTCCTTTCCAAAGCTGCCAATTGGCAGGGGGTTGGACTAGACGGCCGTGCCTGGCTGAGGAATTCTGGGAGTTGAAGTCCACCAGTCATCAAAGGGCCAAGTTGGAAGACCCCTGTCTTAAATCTAACAAACACAATGGAGGCTGGCTGAGGAATTCTGGGAGTTGAAGTCCACCAGTCATCAAAGGGCCAAGTTGGAAGAGCCCTGTCTTAAATCTAACAAACAAAATGGAGGCTGGCTGAGGAATTCTGGGAGTTGAAGTCCACAAGTCATCAAAGGGCCAAGTTGGAAGAGCCCTGTCTTAAATCTAACAAACACAATGGAGGCTGGCTGAGGAATTCTGGGAGTTGAAGTCCACAAGTCATCAAAGGGCCAAGTTGGAAGAGCCCTGTCTTAAATCTAACAAACACAATGGAGGCTGGCTGAGGAATTCTGGGAGTTGAAGTCCACAAGTCATCAAAGGGCCAAGTTGGAAGAGCCCTGTCTTAAATTTAACAAACAAAATGGAGGCTGGCTGAGGAATTCTGGGAGTTGAAGTCCACAAGTCTTAAAGTGGCCAGGTTTGAAGACCCCTGATATAGACAGATAAATGGGAATAACTCACTTTTCTTTTTAAACCCTTCAGTGCTGCATCGTGCCTGGGAAGGACAGCTTTTCATTCAGCATCAGCAAGTGTGCCACATCGTCCTTCGGTCGCCTTTTCAGGCTTCGCTCCCAGCTCAGTTGTAAGTCCTTATTTATTTTTCTCTTCCACTGGAGTTAAGCCAAACACACCCCCCAGAAACCCCCCCCAGGACATTAAAAAGTACGTTCAAACTTGTGCTTGAATAGAGAAGAAGGGAAATAGATCTGTAAATAAAATGACTAGGGCTTTCCCCCCCCCCTCGGTGTTAAAGCGGTGGTTTTTTAATGAAATATTTTACCTTTGAAACTTTCCACCTGGATCCCAAAAGTGTGAGAAATGAGGAACTGATAGAAGAAAAATTTGGTAGCTCAGGGTTGAACTCTTGAGGTCCTTGATGCGCTCTGAGCTGAGTGGTTTTCTTGCAGACGTCTCATGACCCAACTAGGTAATGTCATCAGTATTAGAAGGGAGTGGGGTTTGTGGAGAAAGGAAAGGGGGAGAGGAAGAAGGAGATAGAAGGAATAAAGGGGAAGAGGGAGGGAGGGAGGAGGAGGACTCTGAGGTCCTTGGTGCTCTCTGAGCTGGGTGGCTTTCTTGCAGATGTTTCATGACCCAACTAGGTAACATCCTCAGTGCTAGAAAGGAGTGGGGTTTGTGGAGAAAGAAAAGGGGGGGAGGAAGAAAGAGATAGAAGGAACAAAGGGGAAGAGGGAGGAGAAGGAGGAGGAAGAGGAGGAGAACTGTGGACTCCTTGGTGCTCTCTGAACTTAAACTTGTTTTCTTGCAGACATTTCACGACCTAACTAGATAACATTATCAATCTACAAGGGAGTGGGGTTTGCAAGCCACTTACATATAAACAGAAAACAAGCCCTCCTCCATTATAATACTGACGTTACGAAGTTAAGTTATGAAACATCTGCAAGGAAACAACCAAGCTCAGAGAGCACCCAGGACCCCACAAACGAGGAATGGTTCTAGACTCCAGTTTTGGGGTTTCTTCACCTCTTTGGGATGAATCTGCTTTGGAAAGACTGAATCCCAACCCTTTTTCCCTTTTCTCCTTTCGTAGGCCAGCCAAGCTGGAATTCAAATATATCGTGCGGATATCTGAATTGCGGAAAAAATTGCCGGAAGCTGCATTTAAAAAAAACAGTTACTCCAATGACGAAGGTACACTTTTAAATTGTGTCACGCATTGCATTTATCTGGGTCAGGATGGTTCGCTTTGATTCTTTTCTTTCCAGCCCCATGGGACATTGGATGGGGGGGGGGAAGTGATTTAAGTGGGCTCATGACTCTGTTGGTCCATCAGTCCATCAGCGGGATAATTATGTGGAAACGGTGCAGAAGGGAGCCCAGATCTGAAACCAGTGTCACTTCCACGATGAGGTTGGCTGTGTGTAAATGATGGATGGATGGGTGAGTGGATAGACGGACAGAAAGGGATGAATGGGTGGGTGGGTGGATGGGTGGATAGATAGATAGATGGATGGATGAGAGACACAGACGAATGGATGGAAATGTAGTGATAGACATATAGATGGATAATAGATTGGTAGATAGATGATAGACAAATGAATGGATAGATTAGATCAGTGGTTCTCAACCTTTTTAATGCCGCGACCCCAACCGGTCGTAAGTCGAGGACTACCCAACCGGTCGTAAGTCGAGGACTTTCCCTGCCCGGGAGCGCCGCGCATGCATGGTTCCTCCCCCTGCATCGGCCGAGGCATAGCTGGCAAGCGGCAGAGACGGAGCAGGCCGACCACCAGCTGGCCCAGCCCAAGGGAGGTAAGGCACCTGCCGGAAAAGAGGGAAAAAATGGCGGACAAAAAAAATGGCGGACAGCGTTGCTTGGCGACCCCCGTGAAATGGTTGATCGACCCCAAATGGGGTCCCGACCCACAGGTTGAGAACCACTGGATTAGATGATAGACAGACAGATAGATAAATAGATGAGAGAGGCAAGATGGGATAGATAGATGATAGATAGATAGATAGATAGATAGATAGATAGATAGATAGATAGATAGATAGATAGATAGATGGATGGATGGATGGATGGATGGATGGATGGATGGATGGATGGATGGATGGATGGATGGATGGATGGATGGATGGATGAGAGACACAGACATGAATGGATGGAAATGTAGAGATAGACAGATGGATAATAAATTGGTAGATAGATGATAGACAAACTACTGGATAGATGGATGGATGGATGGATAGATAGATAGATAGATAGATAGATAGATAGATAGATAGATAGATAGATAGATAGATAGATAGATGAGAGACACACAGACATGAATTGATGGAAATGTAGAGATAGACATATAGATGGATAATAGCTTGGTAGGTAGATGATAGACAGACAAATGAATGGATAAAATAGATAGATAGATAGATAGATAGATAGATAGATAGATAGAGACACACAGACATGAATTGATGGAAATGTAGAGATAGACATATAGATGGATAATAGCTTGGTAGATAGAAGATAGATAGATAGATAGATAGATAGATAGATAGATAGATAGATAGATAGATAGATAGATAGATAGATAGATAGATAGATAGATAGATAGATAGATAGATAGATAGATAGATATGGGTGGATGGGTGATGGAGGGAGGGAGGGAATGGATGGACATTTCTCAGTAATACTGTGGGGGTCCCTGGCACTCTCTGAGCTGGGTGGTTTTCTTGCAGATGTTTCATGACCCAGCTAGGGAACATCAACAGTGCTAGAAGGAAGTGGGCTTTTCTTTATAATAGATTTATTGGACCATTGACATTGGATTGTTTTCTTTTTTTTCCTTTCCTTTCCTTTTTTTTTTTTAAAAAAAGTGTGCTTGGTTTTTCCTGCAGTCTGTTGTCAGCAGTTGTCGTTTCGTTTATATCAAGTGGAAATATTAGACGAGAGTGAACTAAAAGATCAGCTAATTGGGAGCATGAAAGAAAAAAACCTGGTGAGTTCTTAAAAATCTTCAGAATTAACTATTATTTTCTTTTGCAGGATGTGGCTTGGGGGGGGAGGGGTCTCATTCTCCAAAAATGCCCAGCAAATTAGCATTTTTAAAAATTTAGGAAGTCTTCCCCTTCTGGTGATTTACGAACACACCCATGTAGATTTTTTGATGGCAATGCCTCAATCTGTTTTTATAAAAAAAATTAATTGCTGGCTGAGGAATTCTGGGAGTTGAAGTCCGCCCATCTCAAAGCATGCTGGCTGGGGAATTCTGGGAGTTGAAGTCCGCCCATCTTAAAGCATGCTAGCCAGGGAATTCTGGGAGTTGAACTCCACCCATCTCAAAGCATGCTGGCTGGGGAATTCTGGGAGTTGAACTCCACCCATCTCAAAGCATGCTGGCTGGGGAATTCTGGGAGTTGAACTCCACCCATCTCAAAGCATGCTGGCTGGGGAATTTTGGGAGTTGAAGTCCACCCATCTTAAAGCATGCTAGCCAGGGAATTCTGGGAGTTGAACTCCACCCATCTCAAAGCATGCTGGCTGGGGAATTTTGGGAGTTGAAGTCCACCCATCTTAAAGCATGCTAGCCAGGGAATTCTGGGAGTTGAAGTCCGCCCATCTTAAAGCATGCTGGCTGGGGAATTCTGGGAGTTGAAGTCCACCCATCTTAAAGCATGCTAGCCAGGGAATTCTGGGAGTTGTAATCCACCCATCTTGAAGTTGCTAAAGGTGGAGAAACACCGGCTTAGCGTGTCGTTATACACAATTATAGCTTAGCGTACTGTCAAACCCAGTATATTTTGGTAGACAGACCACAGCTGAGTGCCTTTGAAAAAAGCAGCGATTCTAACTATGTACGTAGGCAGCATTCACACACGATACTAGGCCATTATTTTAATCACAGTTTCTTGAACAAGCCAGGATGGTCTATTTTTTTTCCCAACAACAGATTTTTGAATGGAACCCCAAACCGGCCCTGTTCTAGCTCAACATTCCATATAAAGACGAAGCTGTTAATGAAGGTGACGTGGCATTCTTTGATTGACACCTGAATTAAGCCAAACTGAATTAAAGCGGAATTAAACTAAAGGGTTATTTAAAAATATATATATAAAAAAAGCCCCCAGATGTGAAATTGCACGATAGGTGCCGGAGATTTGGGGATCAAGCCGGGACCCCAGTTCCGCTTTTCTCAAGCCATCTGTTTAATTCTCCGGATGGAAAAATTAACCACCTTTCTATGTTACAGGCACTTGTCAAATATGTAAATGACCGTGGAATCCTCCTCTTCCTCACCTCGTCCATCTTGGCGAAAGGAAAAGGTAAGGAAGGAGACGGACGGACCGTCAGCACCTTCGAATCCAGGTGGGTCTTCCCTGGAAAATTCAGTTCGAGACGGGAAAACATTGACACCTCGTTTTCTGCTTGCAGATTCCGAGTCAAACGATTTGACGACTCTCCAAGCTTTGTTTTTATTTCCATCGCCAGGGCCCAAATATTTAACAGGTAAGGTTTGTTTTTGCCAACACTGGGGATGCCTTAATCCCTATTATCGTTGTTTTTTTTTGTCCTACACTTTCTCCCCCCCCCTTATATTTACTTACTTGCTTATCTACCAGAATTTTATTCCACTTTTATTATTTTTATAAATAAGTCGAGGTGGCGGACATACCTAAATAATCCTTTTTCCTTCTGTTTTCCCGACAACAACAAACAAACAACCACATTCCTGTGAGATGGGTTGGGCTGAGAGAGAGGGAGGGGCCCGAAGTCACCCAGCTTTCATGCCTAAGGCAGGACTAGAACTCACCGTCTCCCGGTGATTGGCCCAAAGTCACCCAGCCGGCTTTCATGCCTAAGGCGGGACTAGAACTCACCATGTCTTGGTGACTGGCCCCAAATCACCAAGCTAGCTTTCATGCTTAAGGAAGGACTAGAATTCACGATTGCCTAGCGATTGGCCCAAAGTCACCCAGTTAGCTTTCATGCCTAAAATGGGACTAGAACTCACTGTCTCCTGGTGATTGGCCCAAAGTCACCCAGCCAGCTTTCATGCCTAAGGCAGGACTAGAACTCACCGTCTCCTGGTGATTGGCCCAAAGTCACCCAGCCAGCTTTCATGCCTAAGGCAGGACTAGAACTCACCGTCTCCTGGTGATTGGCCCAAAGTCACCCAGCTGGCTTTCATGCCTAAGGCGGGACTAGAACTCACCATGTCTTGGTGACTGGCCCCAAATCACCAAGCTAGCTTTCATGCTTAAGGAAGGACTAGAATTCACGATCGCCTAGCGATTGGCCCAAAGTCACCCAGTTAGCTTTCATGCCTAAGGCAGGACTAGAACTCACCGTCTCCTGGTGATTAGCCCCAAGTCACCCAGCTGGCTTTCATGCCTGAGGTAGGACTAGAACTCACCATCTCCTGGTTTCGTCTAGTCCATTAATAGGCCATCCATTTCATCCATAAAGCAACTCTGCCTGTCTTACACAACAGTAACTGTTTATTTTATTTATTTTTGTTGAGCGTGACTGAAGTTGCTTAGAAATGGCTTTTCTGTTTTGTTTTTCATTAGCCACAGACTGGAAACGCGAAGAGGGGAGAACTGAGACCCCCCAGAAGCTCCCCCTGGTCCTCCCCCTCTTTCACCAGGCGTTGGCAGAAGCCGCCAAAAATCCCGAACTGTCCCCTTCTAACGCTTTGGTCAAATTGCATATGGAGGAATTTGCAAAGCTCAATCGGAGTTCAGCGCCGAGCCGCGGAAACGCGTCTGGCCCAACTTTTATTCCCAAACTTTCATCTGAGACCCCCAAGGGGGACCCCGTGGACGATAAGTGCTCCCCCTCCTCGTTTTCCAAATTGGCGTTTTATCTGTCGGACCCCGAAAGTTACACGCTGGAGGTCTCCTCCGCCTTGGCGTGTTTGCAGGGCGGCTCTCGGCCGTCCGACGGTGGCGCGGATTTAAATTTGGACTCCTCGCCGTTGGACGGACCGGACAAAGCTACCAGAACGGGCCAGGCTCCCCTCGCCGGCACGTCGAAAGGCAGCCCCCCCGGAGAGCGATCCTTGCCGTGGACCAAACGGAAATCCAGCCGCATCCTGGGGGCCAGTTCAAAGAAGAAATGGTCACCTCTGAAGATGTACTGCATGCTGGAGAACAGCAGGAAAAAGACGAAGGAGAAGGAGAAGAGGAAGAAAAAGAAGAAGAAGAAGAATTTGCCCAAGGAAGCCGTGACACTCAGCATCCCCGTGGCTAAAGATCTCGGATGCCCAACAGATCCTAAAAAGCCTACCCTGAAATTAAAAAACATCCAGAATCCACTGAGAAGGAAGAGGGGTGAGTGTCATCTCAAACAAACCTACACGTTTTAATTTTATAATAATAATAATAATAATAATAATAATAATAATAACAACAACAACAACAACAACAACAACAATAATAATAATAATGATGATGATGATGATGATGATGATGATGTTGGAAGGGATCTTGGAGGTCATCTAGTCCAACCCCCTGCTGTCCATTTTGTCACAAGAAAGCCATAATTTCGGCTGATCAAGCATTCAGAAGCTGCTGTTATTATTATTATTATTATTATTATTATTATTATTATTATTATTATTTAATTTATAAGATTTTATTAGTTTTTTTCCATACATACAATAATAATTTTTCAACCAACGTGCTGTCTGAGTTTAAATACGCCAATACGTATTTAATTCCTAATCCTTTATTCTTTCCTCTAACCATCGGTAAAATGAGTCCCAAGTTTGATAATAATTCTGTTTCTTCTTTTTCTTTCAGTCTCAGAGTCAATCTGTCCATCTCTGCGCATTCTAGTATTTTTTTTTATTATTTCTTCACCTGGTGGTATTCCTTCCTTTTTTTCCAATATTGCGCAAATATTATTCTTGCCGCAAATCTTAATGTTCCACCCGCAAGATTAGCAAAAATGTTCAAAAATATGTCAGATAGGTGTTGGAAATGTAAACATAACTCAGGCACGTATTATTATCATATTTGGTGGACACGTGATAAACTGGCTGAGGAATTCTGGGAGTTGAAGTCCACAAGTCTTAAAGTGGCCACGTTTGAAGGCCCCCTGCATTATATCCTGCCTTTATAATTTTTTTCTTGACAAAGATGGTTTGAAGTAGCCGTATTTTGTTTAAATATGGAGATCCTGAAGCTGAAGGATGTCCTTGTACAGAACCAGCCCCTCCCCATCCCAACCAAATGCCCCCAAATCAACGGTCTGTTTGGGGGCCAAATTGAGGCCAAACACACCCGAACACGGCGAGGTAGACTCGGCAATAGTCTGGAGTCACAAAGCACCGTCAGCCGGGCGGTTCTCGATTTAAACCTTTCCGTGGTTTAGCGTGTTGTGTGTAATCCGACTGGGGTGTTAACGGAAATCCATAATGCGGTTTAGCACAGTAACCACATGGAAAGTGGTGTGAACGCCGTCAGAGGTGTTAGGTTGAGGGCTGTTGTTTTTGTCTGTGTTCGTGGAATGCAAAAGAAAAAAAAATAGAGATGCGGTTCTAAAAAAAAAAAAGGTAAAAGAGAGAAGCAGAGTAAATGGGATATACGTTCCCAATACTTCGTCTATAAACCATATCTATATCTAGGTCTATATTTCTCTCTATCTAATCCATATCCATATCCATATCCATCCTGCCTGCCTGCCTGCCTGCCTGCCTGCCTGCCTATCTATCTATCTATCTATCTATCTATCTATCTATCTATCTATCTATCTATCTATCTATCTATCATCTATCTATCTATCATCTATCATCTATCTGTCTGTGTCTGTCTCTCTCTGTCTCTATCTATCTGTCTGTCTGTCTGTCTGTCTCTATCTATCTATCTGTCTGTCTGTCTCTGTCTCTATCTTTCTGTGTCTGTCTGTCTGTCTGTCTGTCTATCTATCTATCTATCTATCTATCTATCTATCTATCTATCTATCTATCTGTGTCTGTCTCTGTCTGTCTCTATCTGTGTCTGTCTGTCTGTCTGTGTCTCTATCTATATCTATCTATCTATCTCTATCTATATATCTATCTATCTAACTATCTATCTATCTATCTGTGTCTGTCTCTGTCTGTCTGTCTGTCTGTCTGTCTCTATCTATCTATCCATCTATCTATCTATCTATCTATCTATCTATCTATCTATCTATCTATCTATCTATATCATCTGTCTATGTTTGTCTATATCTATCATCTATCTATCTATCTATCATCTGTCTGTCTATCTGTCTATATCTATCTATCTATCTGTCTATCTGTCTGTCTATATCTATCTGTCTATCTGTTTATCTATCATCTATCTATGTCTGTCTCTATCATCTATATCTGTGTCTATCTATCATTTATATCTATCATCTATCTATCTGTCTGTCTATATCTATCTATATCTCTGTGTCTATCGCTATCGCTATCGCTATCTGTCTATCCATCCATCCATCCATATCTAATCTATATCCATATCCATGCCTATCTATCTCTATATAGCTATGTATCTATTATCTATAATCTATATATCTATCTATATTAAAATACAATAGAGCCACTGAACTCCGGGATAGGAAAAACTTTTTAATAAGTATATATATATCTCTATGTATATATCTAAATATGTCTATGTGTCCATCTGTCCATCCCTGCCTCCCTTTTTTTTTGCCAGTCCCAATTGGGGTCGCTAAACGAGGACTGCCTATAAATCCTTTGCGCTGTGCCACCGCCAGAAAGCCGTGGTTACTCACTGGGCTTCACTTAGCAACCGCTTCACTTAAGGACCATGTTTACCAGTCCCAATTGGGGTCGCTAAACAAGGTCTGCTTATAAATCCTTTGCGCTGTGCCACCGCCAGAAAACCATGGTTACTGACTGGTTTGTTGTGTCCGCCAGGGGCCGAGGTTTTGTCTGCGGAATTCATTCAAGGTCCGAGTGCCTCGCCCGAGGGAGCCACGGAGGCTTCCGGCGGACCCGCCACGGAGGAAAAGAAGCCCCGGCTGACCGAGGTGGAGAAAGCCATGAGGAACGTGGACAATATGGACGCAAAACGACCAAGTAAGATGGCGGCCGTGATCCACATGTGGAAACCCTGGCCGAAAAAAAATGATAATTCTGCTTCCTGTCCTCCATACCTTCTCCTTGGGTTTTTGTTTTTGTTTTGTTTTTTAAAAAAAAGCTGGGGCAGGGATGAGAAGCTGGTCCAGGCGGTCCCCGACTTACAGCCATTCGCTTAGTGACCGTTTGAAGTTAGCGCTGAAACAAAAGGATTTACAAAATGGCGCAACCGGTTAGCAGATCAAAATCCAGGCGCTTGGCTGGTTCATATTTATGGCGGTCGCATTGCCCTGGGGTCACGTGATCACCACCTTCCCAGCCGGCTTCCAACAAGCAAAGTCAATGGGGGGGGAGCAGGATTCGCTTAACGACTGCACGATTCACTTAACGACTGCATTGATTTACTTAACGATTCTAATAACTCTAATTCTAATCATTCTAACTCAATAACTATAATTCTAATTCTAATCATTCTAATGCTAATAATTGCAATTCAATTCCAATTCTAATCCTAATCCTAATTAAATCTAATTCTAATCATTCTAATTCTAATATCTCTAATTCTAATAACTAATTCTAATCATTCTAATTCTAATATCTCTAATTCTAATAACTAATTCTAACAATTCCAATTCTAATTCCAGTTCTAATCCTAATCCTAATTAATTCTAATTCTAATAATTCTAATTCTAATAACTTTAATTCTAATAGTTCCAATTCTAATAATTCTAATTCCAATTCTAATTCTAATAACTCTAATTCCAATCATTCTAATTCTAATAATTCCAATTCAATTCCAATTCTAATTCTAATCCTAATTAATTCTAATTCTAATATCTCTAACTCTAATAATTAATTCTAATAATTCCAATTCTAATTCTAATCCTAATTCGTTCTAATTCTAATAATTCTAATTCTAATAACTAATTCTAATCATTCCAATTCTAATCATTCCAATTCTAATTCTAATTCTAATCCTAATTCATTCTAATTTTAATTAATTTTAATAACTTTAATTCTAATAGTTCCAATTCTAATCATTCCAATTCTAATTCTAATCCTAATCCTTTCATTCTAATTCTAATAATTCTAATTCTAATAATTCTAATTCTAATAACTAATTTTAATAACTTTAATTCTAATAGTTCCAATTCTAATAATTCCAATTCTAATTCTAATCCGAATTAATTCTAATTCTAATAACTCTAATTCCAATAATTCTAATTCTAATAATTCTAATTCAATTCCAACCCTAATTCTAATCCTAATCCTGATAATTCTAATTCTAATAATTCTAATTCTATCTTATCCCTTTCTTTTCATGCCTTCCCCCTCATGTTTTGCATCCAGGGATCATTTGGATCCCTTTTCCACCTCGCTAGATTTATCAACACCGAGTAGATCTGCCCGAATGAACCCACCCAGAGTTGGGTGTTCGTGATCAGATCAAACGAAGCCACCTCTGGAGATAAACATGCCTTTTTTTTCCTTCTATTTTTTCCAACCCAAACTACCTCTGTCCCCTTGTGCTAATATTTTTGTCTCTCCTTGCGCAGCCCCGAGGAAAAATGTCCACGGCGTGTCTTCAGAAAAGCAAAGGATCGAGGCCATCTCCATAAAAAACGACGTGGCTGCTGTGGACGCCCTGCGGACTTCCACAGGGGAAGAGTGCGATTCACACGCGTTGAACCTGTTGGCCGATTTAGCGCTGAGCTCCTGTAACGCTCCCTTGGACAGGAACGGTCGAAGAGACTTCGGACGTTTCCGTCCATCCCGGGAACATTGTCTACCGCGAGGGAAATTTTTGCACAAATCATCTGATCACGAATATCACAGGGCTACCAAGAAATGGAAAGGCACTTTCCTGCCCGGACAAACTTCCCGATCGTCTTTTTGGTCTGCCAGGGAGACCGGTCGGGACAGGGACTGGCCTTCGAACGTTAAGGACCGAAATGCCGTGAATCCCAGCAAAAAGAAGAATGCAAGGATCGACCTCACCAAATCTTCCCTGGCCCTTCCGAACGAGACCGGGGACCTGTCGGATTCAGGCGTCATGATTTCGTTGGAGCACTCGTACGCCTCCCCCATCTCCGAGACCCCCCCAAAGGGGACGCCGCGTTCTCCCGATTCGAGGAACGGGGTGAAGCAGGATAAACCGGGTCCCTTGGTTGGAAAAGTGCTTCCTTTCCAGCACCAGCAGAATTCGTGCCAACCGGGCAAACCGGTTACGAACCATTTATCGCCCGCTCGTTTGACCCTCATGGCGGCACGACTGAGGGAGGACTTTTCCGGCAATCGCCAAGTGACTTCTTGCGATAAAACAGTCCAAGTTACTTTCCAGTGGGAGGCGAAATACCCCTTCAATTTGGATAGCAAATATACTAATAATTCTTTAGAAAAAACCATCCTACGGGCAGTCCACGGGTAAGTGAGGGTCCCATAGACAAAATAAATACCTGGTGCGGTTTGGGAGTCAAACGAGTTTTTTCTGGGGATTCAAAATCACATCCTGGTTAGTTCCCAAATCAATTTTGGGGGTGTTGAGGGGTAAGAACTGATGGATCTGGAATTGGGTTCCATCATTTAGCAAAAACATTGATCCGGCAAACAGCAGCAGCTGTAAAGATGACAATTCTCTGTTGGGATTGTTAGAAAAAAAATCGACTGCAAAATTCAGCTTACTACAGATTGTTCTTGATTTACAACAGCTTGTTTGGTGACCGTTTGAAGTTACAACAGCACTGAAAAATGTGACTTATGACCACTTTTCGCGTTTACGACCGCTGCAGCATCCCCGCGGTCATCTGATCAAAATTCAGACGCTTGGCAAGCGACTCATATTTATGACGGTTGCAGTGTCCCGGGGGTCCCCGCGTGATCCTCTTTTGCGACCGCCTGACTGGCAAAGTCCAGGGGGACAACCACATTCACTTAATAACCGTGTGACTAATTTAACGGGGATTCACTTAGCAACATGTGGCATGAAAGGTTGTAATATGGGCGGGGAAAAAACGCACAAAAGAAACTTCTCGCTTAGTGATGGAAATTTATGGCTCAACTGTGGTTGTAAGTCGAGGACTCCCCATAGTCTGGTACATTTTGCTTGAGGTGTGAACTCTGGCGGGTTCCCGTTGCGAAGCCAAAATTCCCACTTTTGCTTCCTTTTCTTTAATTTTAGGCCCTGGGATGAAAGTCTCTCAGATAACATGGAGGACATGAGGCTGATCCTGCACATGTGGATGGCGCTGTTTTATAGCAAAAAGTTCCAAGCCCTGACGATACGAAAAGTGGTCGAACACAGTAACCCTGCGAAGTACGTGTCCCTGAACAGTCTGGTGGACCCTTTGGAGCCCATGGATGGTGGTGGTGGTGGTGGTGGAGCCTACATTTTGGAGAAAGGCTCGGCGGATTCTGTCTCGGAAGCTGTCCAGATACTTGCTGAAGGAGGGGAAGATGGATCTGTTTCTCCTTCCCAGAAGCTCCTCTCGTGTAACAAACTGTCCTCCACCGACTCCTTAGTGGAAGAGAGTCCTCTGACTAAACTTGAAGAGACCACGGACCTGCTTGAGAAGGAGGAACGGTCTCGTCCTCTTCTGAAGCCCGTTGAAGAGGTAAGGTTTTGGTTGGGCCCCTTAGAGCCAACGATGAAGGTGTAAATGGCTCCTCTGCGCGATGGATACCAGAATATTTATCGTTCAAGGTGGAATTGTGGGGTCCCTGGTGCTCTCCGAGCTTGGTGGTTTTCTTGCAGATGTTTCATGACCCAACTAGGTAACGTCATCCGTGCTAGGAGGATATAGGCTTTATGGAGGGGAGGGGGAGGAGAAGGGGAGGAGGAAAAGGAGAAGGGGAAAGGGAGAGGAGGAGGAGGAGGGGAGGAAAGAGAAAGGAAGAGGAGGAGAACTGTGGCTTTTTGGTGTTCTCTGAGCTTGGTTGTCCTCGCAGACATTTCATGACCCATTTAGGTAACATCATTAGTGCTAGAAGGGAGTGGGTTGGGGGAGGGTGCAGGAGGAGGAAGAGGACGACTGTGGGGTCCGTGGTGCTCTCTGAGCTTGGTGGTTTTCTTGCAGACTTTTCATGACCCGACTAGGGAACATCATCGGTGGTTGATGATATCAATGAAAATAAAGTTACCTAGTTAAGTAAATGAAATGTCTACAAGAAAACAACCAAACTCAGAGAGCACAGGATACCGTGATGTTTTGTTTAGCAACAAATCTGAAATCTGGCTATTTTTCTTTTCAGGTGGTTGAAGCAGAGCCCAAAAAACAACCCTTGCTTCACCCTGTGCTTCCTATTGAAAACCTGCCTGGGGTTGATGAAGGTGTGAACCCTCCAACGTGTCAAACCAAGGCAGACAGAAGCGAAGAGACTAAGTTAATTGGCCCTTCCCAAAACGATGCGCTTGTGTCTACGGGACTTCCGAACGGTTCGGGAAACGAACAGCCCATCGCAAGCACCGAAGTTGCCGTTTCCGTAACAGACAGGAGAATTGATGTTGGGTCTTCTTCAGAAGAGGTGAAGAAGGACGACCTCCTGGCTGGTGGTCCCAAGCTAGGAACGTCGGAAGCGGTGGGGTTCAAGGAAGACGTGACGTCTCGGGAACCCGCTAGTCCAGGAAGCAAAGTGCAAAATCAGCCTAGGCTTCATACTGATCAGGAAGAGGGAGAAAGCATGGACTTGGGATCCATTGATCCCGTGCTGTCCGAAAGGAACGATGCTAACATGGAAGTCCAAGATATGGATCTGGTTTCAGAGGACGAGGAAGATCTCGAGGAGAATGATGTGAAAAGAAGGAAAGAAACGGATGGTATGTGGGATGAAACATCATCCAGACAAGATCTTCTCCCATCTAGGGCATCACCAGATACTTTGTCCGGGCATCGGACAGAATTCCAGACTGTCCCAGAAGCTGCTGTAGGACCATCCTCAAGTTCTGTATCTCCAAACCAAATGGGATTGATTGAGATGGTCCCTCAACAGGCAAGCTCCTTACATCCAATGACTGTTGAAGAAAAGATGGCTGGATCAGCCAAGAAGATGGATCCCACATCTCCAAGGCAAATAGACAAAGTGGAGGACTCACACGATGAAGCGATCTTAGCAGATTCAGTTTCCATTCAAGCTTCCGGAGACTTCCCAAATGATCTAGCGACTGACGATGGACCCTTACAAAGTCAACAGGAATCGGTGGAAAGTCCTAGGGTTCCAAACCAAGTTGATCCGGTTGACCTTTCCTCAGTTTCCCAGGAAGACAACAGGATCCGTTTGTCCTGTCTGCCTTCATGGCAGGCTAGTCCTGTCCATCAACGAGCTTCTGATGAAGAGCCACCAAGGATCCAGAAAGACCATCTGGAAAATCCCCTGTATCGCATCTTTCAAAGTTCAATCAATCTGATTGAAGATATTTCTCAGGACAGCACAGAATTGACTGATCCATCTGTGCCTCTTTGCGAACCAAACAGCGACTTGTGTTTGAATTCGGTACCAAACAGTACTCCAACTCTGCAGGAATTGGTGGAAAACCAAGAGAGCTCCATTGCATCCACTCAAGGTCTTTCCCTGGCCAAAGAAATGGATTTGGTTGAAAATCCTGAAGGAGAAGACCATCCAGCTAGTCCTCTCCAGCGGGAAACTTCTGACGAAGCTGCAAAATTGCAGGAAGATTCCAATACCAAACTGGATTTGCCTGAGAATTCTGCCGTTCCCGAAGAAAAGGATGCCGTTCACCCAATGGACAATGTTTCGGGACGAGTTAATGACCCACAGCTTGTAGAGTTCGATTTTGGCACTCAAGAGGAGCAGACAGTCAGCCGGGGAGAAAAGATCCTGGTGAATTCTCAGCCCACAGAAGAATCCCTGAGCTTGGAGTTGCACGATGTAGAATCTGAAACTTCCTTCAAGAATGAAACGTGTTTGGGTCAAGAGAACATCAGAGATTCCTCTGCAAGAGAAGAAGCAGCCTCTGAGGATGAGGTTGAAAAATCAACGGTTACCACGGCTGCTGTAGCTGAAGAGGTCCACGCTTTAATGAATGAGTTGGTAGCCATGGTGTGTGCCACGATAGCTCAGAGTGAAGAAACGAGGGCTCAGAAGAGTTTAGATTGGATTAATTTGGACATGTTAGAGAGTGTGACACCTCCGGAGAGCGATGATGAGGGTTCCTCAACTGTCCAGCATTCCCATGCGGACGTGAAATGCGCTGATGAATGTTTAGAACAGATTTCCACCTTTGATGACCAACAGGAAGACTTGCAAGCCAGGGTACAAGAAGAGTGGTGTTCATCATCAAATGAGAACACGGCATCTGATCCAGGAGATGTTTTTGAAAAAGAAGAACTTCAAGAGAATGATGCTACCTCAGCTGCCACAGGGATCTTCTCAAGTTGTGGCACAAATCAAGAAGAGTTGGGCACCACCAACCCAAAAGGCAGATGGTTATGGCTTGAAACCACCGACTACGGTGCAAAGGTGGATGACCACGGTACGTCCACTTTGGAAAAAGTTGAGCAAACAAAGATTAATCCGGAAGAACCCATTTGTAACAGGGATGACCATTCTATAGGAGAAGATGTGGAGAACCCATCCTTTGTCCCAGCAGAAGGTCAGGAGGACTCTTTGGCAGAAGAACCTGATCCTTTGGTTGACGGAGATTCCAAACAAGCTCCAGATCACCAGGAAGACGAGGCCCAAGTAGAAGCAAAGGAGTGTCTGGGAAGTCTTGAAGACCCTCTACGTGATGAAAGGACACAGTTGACTACCAATTCTTCAAGCATGGATGTAGACTGGGGAGACGAGTCTCTGACGGCGGAGAGCAGCCAAGATCCCTGTGTTGATTGGTATCCCACAAGTAAACTTGAGAGTTTGGATCAACCAAGATTCAAGGCCTCCCCAAGCATTGAGTCCGAGTTTACCTGTAGTTCAGGTCCTGGGAAAGAGAGTTGTAAAGATGGGGATTGGGTATCCTCAGAAGCTAGCCAGAAGGCATCAGATGCCGGGTCCACGAAACACAACTTTCCTTTCGGTTTAAAAAAAGAGGATTGGTCATTATGGCTGTCTCTTGATGAGGACCATAAGCCCGAGCACTTCAAGGATTATATCAATTTCTCCGTCACCAAGAAGCACAAGGAGAAAACGAGGACTTTCCACTCGTTCTCCAAAGAGCACAGCCCTTTCTCCAGAGGTTTGGGATCGATCAACTCCTGGAGCAGGAACTGGGGTTTTCTGAGCAATCCGATTCAAAACATTGTAGACCTGGAATCCGTGCGATTCCATTGCAGGATCCGAGAGATCCTGAAGAGGTCACAACAACGTTCTACCTCCCGTGTGCTTCCCACCAAGAAGGTCCCACCTCAAGGGATAGGAGTGTTGGGGGTGCCGTCGAGAACAGTCTCCGAAGGGACAATTGCTAGGTTTCCTGTTAGGAGCAGAAGTCCGCTTCTCGTCACCGTTGCGAACTCAAACCCGAGGACCGGTGGCCGACGCGAGGACTTCTGCAGCCCGTTTCCTGCCACCCAGGATCCATTTGGCCCAGCTGTTGCACCGAGGAGTCAATTTGGACTCGGTCCGAAGCGTCCCATCCCTTCTTTGCACCTCCAGGAACTGACCTACCATAAGCTAAACAATTTCTCCCGGGACATCTCGTCCGTTGTCGAAGAGTTTGCCGAGTTCAGCAGAGTGATGGCCTTTGACCGCATGCGGACGTGCAACCCAGAGAGAGACCCCACTACTACCTCAGGAGAGGCGGGGGAGAAACGGTACCTACCTCAGCCTCCCAGGACGCTCGGCTACGAGGATCTCCTTGCCGCACTGCGCAACACACTACACTTCCAGCTGACAAACGTAGCCCAGGAAGCGTGCCGAAAGCCTTTCTCGTTCTATGTGATGGAAACGGAAGACGACCCGTTCTTCGGGAGAGTAAAGGTAGGGTGTGGCGGGGGAATAAAAATCTAATCAGTTATGGCCTTTGCCAGTCCCTTCCATCAACCGCCACAATCAAGCTGATCCCAACAAGATAGACGGTGAATCCTCTAATGAGCAAACGTATGTAGTACTTCTTACTCCTTTCCCCACAAAAACCCTGCGAGGTGGGTTGAGCTGAGACAGAGGGATTGGTCCAAAGTCAGCTGGCTTCCATGCCTGAGGCGGAACTAGAACTCACAGTCTCCTGGTGATTGGCCCAAAGTCACCCGGCCGGCTTTTGTACCTAAGGCAGGACTAGAACTCACGTCTCCTAGTGATTGGCCAAAGTCACCCAGTTGGTTTTTGTGCCTAAGGCAGAACTAGAACTCACCATCTCCTGGTGATTGGCCAAAGTCACCCAGCTGGCTTTCGTGCCTAAGGCGGGACTAGAACTCACGTCTCCTGGTGATTGGCCAAAGTCACCCAGCTGGCTTTTGTACCTCAGGCGGGACTAGAACTCACGTCTCCTGGTGATTGACCAAAGTCACCCAGCTGGTTTTTGTGCCTAAGGCAGAACTAGAACTCCTGATTTCTAAGCCGGTATACCTTAACCACTACACCAAACTGGCTGTTGTTTGAGGAGGATACACAAACATCCCCCCTAACAATTTGTGTTGTTGCTCAAATGGGAGTTGCATCAGACTGCATCATCTTCACGTAGACAGTGCAGAATGGCGCAACGCAACAGGTTTGTTCCACGCGCAGCTGAGTCTGCTAAAGCCAGGCGTCTGTGTGTGTATGTGGTTCTCCTCACCGTGGCTGTCGTTTTGTGTTTTGCGGAGGGATTTAACACCTGCGTCTCCTTCCAGAATTTGCTGAAAAGGGGAGGTCACACCGAAGTGGACCTACTGCAGCTGCGCAAAGGAAGCGATGTGGAAATGGGGAACCTGCTGGTCATCGTTCGAAACGAGGACATTTTCTTACACATCCACAAAGTAGGTTCAGAACTCACTTTCGGCTCTTCCGGGAAGTAATTCTCAGCCATTGATCACCAAGGGAGCGGGATTTCTGCCTTGTTGAAGACATTTTGGGGAATGTGGTAGATCACAGAATAACAGAGTTGGAAGGGACCTTAGAGGTCTTCTAGTCCAACTGCCTGCTCAAGCAGGAGACCCTATACCGACAAATACTTGTCCAGTCTCCTCTTTAAAATTACCCAGAGCGTCCACAACTTCTGGAGACAAGCTGTTCCTTCCTTCCTCCCTTCCTTCCCTCCCTCCCTCTCTCCCTGTCATTCCCATCTCCTTCCTTCCTTTTCTCCCTCCCTCCCTCCCTTTCCCATCTCCTTCCTTCCTTTTCTCCCTCCCTCCCTCATTCCCATCTCCTTCCT